GTGTGTGTGTGTGTGTGAGAGAGAGAGAGAGAGAGAGAGAGAGAGAGAGAGAGAGAGAGAGAGAGAGAGAACTTGTGCTTGGTTGTGTGCATTTAAGTGCAGTGCCTGAGGAAGCCAGAAGAGGGCATTAGATCCCCTGGAGCTAGAGTTATTTGCAGTTGTGAGCCACTTGACATGGATGCTGGGAATTGCACTGGATTCCTCTACAAGGGAAGTATACGCTCTTAATTCCTGAACTATTTCTCTACCTGCACATTGGCTCATTTTTAAGGGTAAAATAAATTATACTGAACTTTCTTTAGAGTCCATTAAACCGAGAATTTAGCCCAGCACAACTTTAATCAGGAGGCAGACATGAGGAACTCTTGAGTTTGAGGCTAGTCTGGTCTACATAGTGAGCTCCAGGACAGCCAGGACTACATAGACACTGTCTTAAAAAAACAAAAATAAATAAGATAGTTTATGGCCTGCAAGATGGCTTGGCAGGTAAAGGCATTTGCCACCAAAGAGAACCAACTCTGTAAACATGCTGACTTTGACAGGTGCAGGTGCTGTATGCCATGTGTGTACTTGCCACTAACATATGCACACGCTCGTGCACACATATACACACACGTGCGCGCACACTAAATACTTAAAAAGGAAAATTTGGAGAGTACATTTATGTTGTCCAGGTTGCCCTGGAGCTGAATTTAACAGTGGGAATCTGTGTAGGAAAGGCAAGGCTCGGGTTGACAGATGTGCTGGGCTGCTGGTTAAAGGGATGAGAATGCTGGTTTAGGAAGACAGCTGTCTGGGAGCTAGCTGTAGTACTAGGCTTAACGTAATCACATTTGCTTTGGGTTGTAGCTGTATAACGGGATTGTAGAGATGTTGAAAGGGAAATAAATATGTGCTCTGTGAACACAAAGGTGCGGTCTCTGGATTCTCTTTTCTTTGTTAATTTTACGTTTTGTCTGTATATATGTGTGTGCACCACATGCGTGCCTGGTTTGCACAGGGACCAGAAGAGGGCAGAGTTACAGATGGTTGTGAGCACCCATGTGGTGCTAGAATCAAAGCTCAGTCCTCTGCAAGAGCAGCCAGTGCTCTTAACCACTGAGCCATCTCCCCAGCCTGTTTCTGGCTCATTTTAATAGTGCTGATGTTGATGACAGATTAGGATGTTTAGGATGGAAAGTTAGACTGATGTGGGATTCCTCTCTGTATAATATGGATGTTTTATTACTGCTGGTTAATAAAGAAACTACTTTGGCACGGCAGAATATAGCTAGGTGGGCCCCTGGCTTCGGGAACAGGCAGGCTGGGGAAATCCAGTCTACGTGGACCAGCAGGACAGAGAATACTTATAACTACATTCGACACTGAGGCACATGACTGTAATCTGGCCACAGAGAGGCTGATACAATTGAAGGGCTAGCCTGGGTTACAAAACAAGAACCTATCTCACAAAAGAAACTGGAAGAAAAGTTGGGAGGTTGTGGAGTCATTGCTTAAGCAGGGTAAATTCACTTGATAACGAAGAATATTCTGCATTAGAGTATGAAAGCTGTGAGAGAGATGGTGTGTTATACAGCTTTCTTACTGGGTACCTCTGGCTTTCTGGAACTGGCTGTGTATGCAAGGCACACCTCAAACTCATATCCATTGTGAGTGCTGTGATTAACTGTGGGCCAGCATGTCTGGCTGATGTTATTGTTCTCTTTTGGTTATTAGAGGCAAGGGATTCCCCTGTGGCCCAGATGATTATATCCTGTAGACCAGCCTTCAGTCCATAGCGATCTCCTGCTTCACCCTCCTAAAAAAAAAAAAAAAAAAAATGGGTGTAGTTTTTGCAACCAGGCAAGTGAGTACAGTTGTATAGATCATCTGTGAACTATATATAATGTGTAATAGATCTTTATTTATTTATCTATTTATTTATTTAGAGAAACGCTTTGTTGTTAGGTTTTGAGAAAGACCAGTCTGTAGCCCAGGCTTGTTTAGAACAGTGTGTACTCCAGGCTAGCCTCCAATCTGAGGTGATCTTCCCAGCCTCACCCCTCCAAAATAAATAAAGTAAATATATATAAAATTTGGTGGTTTACTTGGGTTTTTGATTTTTTTTTTGAAACCATCTCACTTATCTAGATTGACCTTGTACTCCTGCAGGGAACTAAGTGTTGGAATCCCGGGTGTGTGCCGCCACACTTGAGGCCTGTCTACTTAGAATAGCTTTTAGTGTTTAACCTGAGATTTAAGTCAAAAACTGTTGTTTTTGTACGTGCCTTGAAAGAACACTTGGATGCTACTTCGGTTTCTTGTAATTTGTGCTTTTGTGGTAAGTCAACAGCAATTGTATTCTTATTCTTTTTTTTTTTTTGTTTTGTTTTGTTTTTGCTTTTCCAAGACAGGTAACAACCCTGTCTGTCCTGGAACTCACTTTGTAGACCAGGCTGTCCTCAAAATCACAGAGATGCATCCTCCTGAATGCTGGGATTAAAGGAGTGCGCCACAACTGCCCAACTTCACTATTCCTTTTAAAATATTTTTAAAGTTACATTCACTTATTTGTATGTGGGCACACACATGTAACTGTGAGAGGACAACATCTGGGAATTATTTCTCCTTCATGTAGTCCCTGAATGAAATCCAGATTGTGAGGCTTGATGGTAAGTGTTTATAGGCTGAACCATCTTGCCAGCGTCAACCTTAAGTCACATTTGTGTGTGTGTTGTGTTTATTGTGTGGAACCTCACACAGTAGGACAACTTGCAAAACCCTGTGCTCTTCTTTCGTGTGCATCCAGGGGATGGAACTGGAAAGGCAGGCTTAGCAGCAAGAGCTTACCCACTGAGCCAGCATGTCTCACCCTTACTGTTCTGTTTTTATCAGTCCAGTGACATTCCCACAACAAACCTTTCTTATAAGATTTATTTATTATGTATACAGTGTTCTGCCTGCTTGACAAAAGAGGGCACCAGATCTCATTATAGATGGTTATGAGCCACCATGTGGTTGCTGAGAATTAAACTCACAGCTTTTGGAAGAGCAGCCAGTGCTCTTAACTTATGAGCCATCTCTCCAGCCTCCAGATTACTTTCAATATTATTTTAAAACTAGTTTGTGTCTCAGAGACCCTCCGAATGGATCCCCGGCAGCAGACTTGGAGAGCCACAGGTGTGATGTGTGCTTACAGTGGTGGGGCTGTTTTCCTCCTACCTATTCTGAGCATATAACTTCAAGTTTTAAGTGGCTTCCAGATTTCTCACTCAGAAAAGCACCTTGTTAGGAAATGTTGAATAAGATGCTTAACTGTCTTCAAGAAGTTGTTGGGAACTGGGGAAAGAGAACAAAAGACAGCTTTTAAAATGTTTATTATTACATCCACTTAAGGTAAAGAGTTACAACTTAGAATCCCATAAAGAGAACTGTTAAGGTGCATGGCCTCCACTATGGGAATTGAACCTAGGGCCTCGTCCTCACCCAGGCCCTGAATACTCTTGTTACTTATCCAAAACTGCCCCTGAATCCACCATGAAGTCTATAGAGTCTAAGAACTCAATGCCATCCTCTTGCCTCTGCCTCCTGGTTGATTTGATTACCACGTCCAGCTTTATTTTTTAATTTCTGCCATTTTTACTTATTCCATATTTACAGATATAAAGCCTTGAACCACTGTAGCATATAATATACATTTCTTTTTGTTTTTATTTTTTCCTTTTGTTTTTCAGTTTTTAGAGACAGGGTTTCTTTGCAGTTTTGGAGCCTGTCCTGGAACTCGCTGTTTGTAGCTTTGGAGCCTGTCCTGGAATTCGCTCCTAGACCAGGATGGCCTTGAGAGTTCTGCTTCCTTCTGCCTCCCGAGTGCAGGGATTAAAGGTGTTTGCCACCACCCGGCTTCTTTTTTTATTTTTTTTCTTAAACTAAAAATGTCTTTGCCTGCCTTAGCCTTGTCTTGGGTGTTGAAACACTGTATCTTCTTTGGAGGGATCCTCTCCCGCAAGGTTGGTCAGGACAGTGCCACCCAGGAAGCTTACCTACTTTGTGAGCCAGTCTTTCTGTTTCAGAATGGATTTCATCCTTCTTGGAAGTCCTTAGGGCTACCGCCACCTCGGTCTGATTTATTTCCTAGGCCCCATTTGGGGAGCAACGATCTTTTCCTTCTCCTGTTGAAGAGGATTTTCATAAAACAGCTGAAACGCGCCTTGGCCATCAGTGGCAAAAGTTCACACGTGTGTGCTTGTCCAGGCGCCAAGAGTAACTTTTGCAAACGCTGCCTCGGGGAAACTCCATGGTTCGCTGGCTGCCGCTGCACAGTAAAGAAAACAACAAAACCAAAAAGCAAGCAGGAGTGGAAAAGGCCTCTCTGGAGCGGTGAGACAAATTAAAGGTAAGCCGCAGAGTAAACGAACTCGCGCTGAATTCCTTTACAGATCCCGTAGACTAATGGCTGGGAAGAAGGGGGTGGTGCTCGGCAGAAGCCTGGCCCTTTAAGGAGGAGGGCCAGACACTAGACTCTGCACCTTTAAGAGTCTCTTTGTCTAGAAATCTTCTGTACCCTCTTGTGACTCAACCAAACTTTACCCGCGATTCTCCCGCGCCGCTCCGCGCCTGCCCCCTCACGCCGACCGGCCGACGGCCGACGGCCGCCTCGTCTCGGCTGACCCGAAACTTGGTGCCCGCGGCGCGAACCCGCGGAGAGGGCTTAGAGGCCAGGGGTCGCGGCCAGGAGGCGCGCCGTTGGCGCAATGCGGGGCCCTGGGGGCGGGGCTATAGTAGGCGTACCAATGAGCGATGGGGGGTGTGGCCTGCCCGCTTGTCTCGCGCCCTGGTGACAGCTCGCGCGTGCTGATGATGGCGGTAAATATAGGGGGGGGGGATCTGGGTAGGGGGCGGAGGGCCGGCGAAGCGGCCAAGGGGGCGGCCCGGGGGGCGTGGGGGTCCGCGGTGGCTGGGATCCCGCGCAGACATTCGGAGGCGGGGACACCCGGCCCCGGCATGCCGGCCCTCCCCTTTTAAAGGAGAAAAAAAAAATCCTCTCACACACCGGGTGAGGGGCGACAAAGGCGGCGCGCGCCTGGCGGGCGGGAGGAGCGGCGGCAGGGGGCGGGACCGCGACGCCGGCGGTCCTGGGGCGCCCGGGGCGGGGACGACGGGCGGCGACAGCGGAGGCGCGAGCCCCGGCGCGCGGGCGCTGCGTTTTGGCGGGGTGGGCGACGTCTGGGTTCTGAGGTGAAATCCTTGAAGGGAGAGAGGGGAAAGCAGGCTGCTGGGGGAGCGGTTGCTGAGTATAAGATGAGGAGAATTAGGAGAAAGGGTTAGAAGCCGGGAGAGGAGTGAAAAAGAAACCCAGGCTGGCCCCGGGATGAGGTTAGGAAGCCCGGGGCTGGGAAGAGGGATCCGGGGTCAGGGCTAGGAGCAGGGATCTACAAGGGGCAAGGCTTGGCAGGTGGGTGGTGTTGGGGTGAGGGTACCAGGGCCAGAGTTGCACGGAAAGACAAGGAGCAGGACCGGGTAATAGTTGGGAGTAGGGGAGAGAGAGTGATTAAGAGCCAGACGTGACAAGGGTGTGAACTAGTGCTGAGCCAGGGATGAGCTGAAGGGCTGGGATCAGTTGGGGTAGGATCGACAAGGTGTGGGTCAATAGCTGGGTGATGGGTGTAAATTCTGCAAAGTGAGGGAGGCAGGAGACCTGGATTACAACCAGGTGGAGTCAGAAATTGGAGCGTTAGTGAAAGGACGAAAGGAAAGCGAGCTTAGAGCTGGGCGTTAATAGGACAGTTGTGGGAGAAAAGAAAAGCTGAGCGGACGCTAGAAGCACGGTTTAAGGAGTGATGGTGCTCTGGGACAGGGAACCTGGGGACATTGGAGGGCTTCAGCAAGGACTGGCTGAAAAACAGCCTGAGAAGATGAGTAAGGAAGAGATGGGCCCTGGAATTTAGAGGATGGAATGGGGAGTAAGGGAAGCCGGGAGAGTCCTGATGGGTGTCGAACTGGGGTGGTTGCACAGGAGTGGGAGCCGAATGCGCATTTTGCTCTAAGGTGCCCCAGAAGGTCTGGAAGGGGCAGGGCACAAATGCTGTAGTGAAGAATCCAGGGTAGGGGCCTTTGGTGCAGAAGATAAGGAACCATGGTGAGTGAAAGGGGCCCTCGAAACAAGGGTAAAAGCGAACAGTAGGGGCCCAGGTGGGGTGCAGCACAGGAGTTCTTTGTTAAGAGAAATGTGTATTGAATTTGTGACTCCTTTTGTCCCTAAAAGTAGGAAATTCCAAATCCCTTTTCTCTCTTCAAGGAGTCTTGGATCCAGTTTCCATCTTTCATTGCTTGAAAATCCACTCTCTTGGCCACTTTGAAAAGATGGGACCCATTTTGACTTGATTTTGTTCTTGTGTAATAGAAAAATGGCAGCCTTAGGTGCTTAAAACCTTGTAATTTTACTACCGTACTAAGGGGTAAAGGGCTATGTTGATTTACAGTGCGCCTGTGTGCTGGGGTAGTTAGGGTGGGTCTCGTCAACAGTGTTTTCTTTCCACTGAAGAGTGAACCACTGGGATAGAGACAGCGAGGACTCTTTCTGCTTTCCTTATTCAGCCAGATTTCTCCTTAGTTGTTTTCAGGGGCTCGAGAATAAGGAGAAACCATTCAGGGAAAGGTGAATAACCAACCAGGGAACTGTGCTAAAGGGGGATTGAGTTCCTAAGCTGCTCTCAGCTTTGTGTAGAACATTTTTGTGGAGTTGCTTACTCCTCAGTTTTGCAGACTGTGAGAAAGAAAGGTGGAGTGGAGAGTTGTGGAGAGTTTTAGAGCTGTGGACTCATCTTTTAGATTACATAATGTCTTTTATGAAAAAATTCTGTAAGATAAGATCGCCATCCATCTGCCTGCTGTATTTTATGATTGTGACTAGGAAGGACATATTAATATTTAGAACCTTTTGGTTTTTAAGACTTACTTTAAATTAAAATACTTATATTTATTTATTTATATGTATGTGGAGCACATGTGGTCGGAGACAACTTACAGAAGTTGGTTCTTTACATCATGAGGGTTCTGGGGATTGAACTCAGATTGTCAGTCTTGGCAGCAAACTCCTTTACCCAATAAACCTTCTCCCTTGCCCTATAAGACCATTTTGGAGATTAAAAGGAAGATAAGAATTTTGGGGCAAAATTTAGGTTACTCTTTCTTGGTAGAAGTTTTTAATGATTTTCATTCTAAAGCGTTTGCATTTCACTAAGAATATTGATGAGTATTTACTTTGCATTTGATAATGTGAAAGACAGCGTATGATTTCCTGTAAGGGGGACAGAGGGTACAACTATTCTTGACAATCTTGTTTGAAATTTAATTTTATGTATATAGGTGCTCTGTTTGCATGCATGTATATCTGCCTGCAGAGGGACACTGCAGAAGATGGAATCAGATCCCCAGGAATTGGAGCTACAGACAGTTGTGAGCTATGTGTGTGTTCTGAGTCTTCTGGGAAGAGCAGTCGATGCTCTTAACCACTGAGCAGTCTTTCTAGTCTTGAGTTTATTTCATTGGTGCACATTCAGAGCCACAGTGATGCCTTTTCTCCCTCAGGTCCTGTAGAGGTTGCAAGTGTTGCTGATGGTGGAGCACTTGTCTATCATGTGCAAGGGCTTGGGTTGGCCCTCAGCTCGGCAAGCCAGACTGCAAACCTCAGCAACCCTTATTTTAGGGACTTGGGATGTAGCTCAGTTGGTAGAGTGCTTACCTAATATTCACGAAGACCTGGGTTTAATCCCCTAGCACTGTATGGTAGTGCATGGCTGTCTTCCGAGCACTCCCAAGGTAGCAGGGGTCAGCCTTGCCTACGTGAGTATGAGGCCAGCCTGGGTTACATGAGACTCTGAAACAAACACACACACGTAAAGCCTAGCCCACTTCTCTAAAGTTGTGTGACTTTAGATTGCTCTCACTTGGTGGACATTTGCATAAGTAGCAGAAGATAAGTTTCTGGCATTAATAAGGGTTAGCAAAGTTTGCTTTTGATTTGTGGATATCAGAAATGTCCACACATACATATATTTGGATATTTTAGAATTTGAACTCTGGGCTAACTTTTAGCTGTGCTAAGGGCAAGCTTATAGTTCAGTACTTTATTTTCTGGATTATTCTAGGCAGATTGAAGGTAGGTAGATTTATTTGGCAACTTATAGAAGAAATTTAATTACAAATATTTGCTTCTTAATTTGAGACTAGTCTGGAAATAATAACTTTGAAAATGAAGTGTGACTTTAATATGAGATGTCTGTTTCTGCAAGGTATGTGCACATGCCTGTAGGTGCCTGGGCTGGCTATACTTTGTTTAAGATATTGCCATTTTTATGATGCATTTTTCAAAAGGTGATCTGTTTATCTGGCTGTCTGTCAAAGGAAGGAGCCTATTTGAGTACTCATTTTGTTTCTGTTACATTGCTATGGTGTGCTAAACCACTGGTGCTGTGGATGATTGTTTCTCAGTGATCTCCTCTCTCCTTTTCTTTTCTCTTTCCTTCATCCTAGTTCCTTCCTTTTTGCTTCTTCTGTGCTGGGAGTGAACTCCAGAGCATCACACATGCCGACCACACTCTCGGTCATATTTCTAAGGTTCATATTTCTAAAACTGTTTATGAGACACTGGTCTCACTATGTAGACCTGGCTGGCCTGGAACTTGCTATGTCGACTAGACCATGATGGCCTTTTTTTTGATTTTTCAAGACAAGGTTTTTCTGTGTAACAGTCCTGGCTGTCCTAGAACTCACTCTGTAGACCAAGCTAGCCTCAAACTCACAGAGATCCACCTGCCTCTGCTTCCCAAATGCTGGGATTAAAAGTGTGTGCCACCACCACCCAGCTCAGGCTGACCTTTTAACCCACAGAGATTGGCCTGCCTCTGCTTCTGTTAAGCTGGAATTAAAGAGGTGCGTCACCATGCCTGGCTAAAAATGGATGATCTTTTAATACAGACATTATTACTTATCATAAGGACTCCAGTGTTAAATTTAAGCTGTTTTCTTTTGTTCACCTAGTAGAATTATTTTGTTTTGAAACGAGGTCTCACTATATCCCTGGCTGGCTTGGAACTTACTAATTAGACCAGGCTGACATGGACTCATAGAGATACACTTTCTACCTCTTCTGTCCTGGGAGTAAAGATGAGCCCTACCACACCTGGCTTGTCTCTAGTTTTCTGTATTTATTTTGAGATATGACCTCACACTGTAGCCTGGACTGTTGAAACTGACTACGTAGTCTAACCTAGCTTTAAAGTTGTGGCGAACCTCCTGCCTAGTCTCTGAGTGCAAGGATTTTAGGCACTGGCTACCATACCCAGGTATTAATGGAACGTCACTTTTATTTTGGTTATTATTTTATTTGCTAAGAATAAAACTTATTTATATTTCTAGATTAGGATGAGTAGGTTGTACATGATTAATTTTCTTTTCTGGTTAATCTTAGAATCTTTGGATGGGAAGAGACGTTGAAAGGATCTTGGGTTTATCCTGCAGCTTCAGTCAATATCCCACCTAAGTCATCCCAGGTAGATCAAAACACACCCTATTTTCTTAAAAATCTTCAGTGGCAAGATTACCTTATAAATAATCTCTTCTAGCATTTTATTATTTTCAGGAAGTCTTTTTTTCTAATCACACACTTAATGCTATATTTGTATTTATTTATTCTTGCCTTGCCAATAGTCTTTTACTAGGAAAAAAATGTTTGCTTATAGTGGTATTTATAAAAGCTCTAGCTGGGGACTGGAGAGATGGCTCAGTGGTTAAGAGCATTGCCTGCTCTTCCAAAGGTCCTGAGTTCAATTCCCAGCAACCACATGGTAGCTTACAACCATCTGTAATGAGGTCTGGTGCCCTCTTCTGGCCTGCAGACATACACACAGACAGAACATTGTATACATAATAAGTAAATAAATATTTAAAAAAAAAAAAAAGCTCTAGCTTGCCTGAAATTCCTGTGTTCAAAAGGTTGAGGCAGGAGGATTTCCAGGCTAGTCTGTGCTATAAGGTGAGACCATAAACAAATAAGCAGGCAGACAAGCAAACAAAGAATGAAACCTTACTTACTCATGGCAACAGAAAGAGTCCATGAGGTGTCTGCACGACTCTCCAGTGCCAGATTCTGTTGTAAGTCATCCCCTCTCAGTGACCTTGAGGCAGGGGTCTGTTAATTGTTTTGAGATAAAAGTGTCCTTTGAGGTGAAGTGACCTGCCTATTTGGTCGCCACAGTCTTTGAGCACTAATACTATTTCTGTCAGTTGTTAACCCAGTGATACATTTACTCTTTCATTTCTGATGGTGATCATTGCACCCACTGCTTCATGTACACTAAGATTATGCTCTACCACAGATACCCTTCAGCCCCTCCATCGTGTGTGTGTGTGTGTGTGTGTGTGTGTGTGTGTGTGTGTGTGTTCACGTGCGCGCAGGTGTAAGAGTGTGTTCTTTCCTCAGTCATTCACTCCCTATCTCTTCTGGGACAGGGTCTCTCACTAAATCCTGACTTCACCAGCTAGGCTAAGCTAGCCAGTCAGGAAGCTCCAGGAGTCTGTCGTTTCTGCTTCTCCGGCACTAGAATTACAGACAAATGTCACCCTGTCCGCCTTTTTTTGTGTGGGTACTAGGGATCTAAACTGTGAAATTAGTCCTCTTAGCGGGTCTTTCCCAGTCTTAATGATCTTCTGGAATCTGTTAGGAAACAACTCCCAGGGATTGAAGGCCTGTGCCTTCACCCCTGGCTGATGTTGAATTCTTAGCCTCTTGCTTCAGTTCTGGGTTCCAGGTACTTGCTGCCACACTCCACCCTACTCTGTTTCTTTGTCAGTGGTGAACCAAGGACCAGCACCCCAAGGGTGCCATCTAATACACATATTACATTAAGGTTCTCCTGTGCTTTTATGTATTTATTTCAAAATTGTTTTTACAAAGCCAACAACCCCAAACCAATTTCATAGCACCTTACTGTGTTGCAAATTGCCTGTCTACTTTTGAAGTTGGAAAAATATTTTATACTCAGTTGAAAGATCATTGCTATGTGAGGAAGAATGGAAGTTATGCTTCAGTGCAGATATCCATAAGTAAAAATCTGTTCAGAATATTGCTGTTTTATTTTCTTTTTATGTATGCCTGTCTAAGAAATGTACATAATACTCTGCTTTCATTTGGTGAAGTAAATTAATTTACTCACTAAAATTAAAAATGTAGCTTGCTGAGTTTGGTGGCTCATACTTGGAATTTCAGCACTGGGGAGGCTGAAGCAGGATTTACCACAAGTTTGAGACCAGCCTCGACTAGATAAGTTCTAGCTCAGCTTGGGCTGCAGGATGGCCCTTTTCAAACAGACAGAAAGCAAACGAAATTATTTAGGGTTTACCTTAGGTAAACATGAAAATTGTAACCGGAAGCAACCTAACAGGGGGCTTCCATTAGTGGCCTGAATCCACGGAGACAGGCCTGTCCTAGCATCCTGCCTGCTGAAGTTTAAGGCGTTTGGTGTAGCAGTAACTTGCCTTGGACTCTTGAACCTCCTGCCTTCAGTCATACAGTCTAGGGGTATTGAAATGATACAGTCCAGGGGTCTGGATTGGATTCATTTTCTCTGCCAGTTAAAAAATAACGAGACAGGAACAATCTAAAGCATAAAAGGTTAACACCATGGAAACCTCAAGCACCACAGACAGTTTAAAAAAAAAGGCGTTCATTGGGGGTAAGAAGACATATGCCACAGGCAAAGCAGAGGGCCTCAGAAAGCTGGAGTCCAGCTGTCCTTAGGGCCGAGAGTTTTAAAGCTGTGGAAGAGTTTTCCCTTCGCTATTAGGGGTTGGTCAGTTTGAAGACAGACAGGATGATTTTTGATTGGTCTGTAACTGTTGTGTGACACGTTCTGATATGGCCTTCAATCAGCAGGGGCCCGCTAGTAGAAGACAAAAGTCTGAAGGGTGAGGAAGGAGCTGCCATCTTGGAAACTTGACACCTCTATTACCTATACCTATGGCCCCTCTGTCTGTCTGTCTATCAGAGTCTAACTCCTGGTCTCTCACTGCCATGATCTGAAAAACTTTTTTTTTTTGATGACTATGGGTTTTATTACAATTTTTCAGTCTTGAGGAAAGTTAAAGAAATGAGACACAGATTTTATATGTCTTTTCTCAAAATTGCTAGTTGTTTTCATTTCAACTGACTTGCTTTATCATTTTCTAAGCATTTTTAAACAAATAAAATAGGAGAAATTTAATATGAACACATTCGATTTAAAAAAGAAAAGGGAGGGGACTGTTGAGATGGCTCAGTGATTAAGAGTACTTACTGCTCGTGCAGAGGATCTGAATTCAATTCCCAGCACTCATGCTGGGTGATTCAGCTTCAGCCTCAGGGGCATCTAACAGTCAAATGTGCACATCCACACACATAGGCATAAAAATAAATAAAACTAGGCTTTCGGGGGGCGGAGCACTTAGCGATGACTCATTGGTTAGGAGCACTTGATGCTCTTGGAGAGGACCCAGGTTTTGGTTCTCAGCATGCCCATGGCAGGTCACAATTGCCTATAACTCCAGTTCCAGGGATCCTATGACTTCTTATGGTTTCCAGCATCACCAGGCTTGCATGTAGTGCACACATATACATACAGGCAAACACACTCATGCGCATAAAATATTAAAATAGAGGCCAGGTGTGGTGGCCCAGTTTGTAGGCAGAGGCAGAAAGATCTGAGTTTGAGACCAGCCTGGTCTATATAATAAGTTCCAGGAGAGCCAGGGCTACATAGAGACCCTGTCTCAATAAATAATATATTGAGAATAAGTGAAAGGGAATAAGTTTGGTATATATTTTATTTTAGTCAAAGCCTTTAAGGTGAAGTAATGTCAAGATGGAATTTAGAAGTCAGAGATACTGGTGCAAAGCCTGGAATCCCAGCACTCAGGTTGGGGCATAAGGGTTATCATAAATTCCAGGTCAGCGTGGGCTACATTATTTCAGTCCAGCTTGGGCTAACAGTGAGACCTTTTCTCAAGAAACCTAAATAAATAAATATTAGGAGGACTTTGTGATGTTATGCAGTGTGCTTTAGTAGATGCTGGAAAAGATTCTGTCACCTGTTAATGACAGATGTGTAGGCCCTGTTATTTACAAAACATTGTATTGTCAAATGCTTTTCTGTTGGGAACTTGTGGAAATCCCATCCTTAGAATGTGGTAGCTGCTAATATGCATGATGATTGTGTGAGAATCAGGGCTGGGGTTTTTGGGTTGTTTTTATGTTGTTTGTTTGTTTTTCGAGATAGGGTTTCTCTGTGAAACAGTCCTGGCTGTGCTGGAACTCTGTAGACCAGGCTGGTCTCGAATTTACAGAGATCCGCCTGCCTCTGCCTCCTGAGTGCCGAGAATCAAGGCTGTTAAGCAATATCATGAAGTATTTGAGATGAAATTCCTACCTTTGAGATCTTTTTAGCTTCAAGGAGCTAAAAAGAACCAATGTACACAAGGTTTAACTTCTGAAATGTTGACCGGGATTCATACAAATAGGTCTGCCTTACGTGGAGGTGATCCATAAAAATATTAACATGGCCACCATCCCCAAACCTAAATTTTGAGTCTTTTCCATTGTTTTCACTTAAGGAAATGGACTGACCCCATTTTGCCTCCAGTCAACCCCAGTGTCTGAGATGTTAAACGCGTGACTGTAGACAGGCCTGTCTGACTTAAGCCTAGTAGTTGCATCCTGACAAATGTGAAACACAGAACTTGTGGGCTTTGTCTCCTTTTCTCCCCTCTTTTAGCTGCTATCAGAGCTATGAAATATAGCTCCTTATAAACGCTGATTGTAATAATTAGAAACACTTCCCTTTCATAAGGACGAGAAAATTACAAATTATTTGGAAAGCATTGTTTCTAGTCATGTGTTATTGTTTCTGAGACATGAACAGTTTTTAAAGACTATAATACCATTCCTTTTCCATTCACGTGTTAAGAGAAGTCTGGGAAGTAAGGATTCCTCTGAAATGTTCCGGGTTGTTTGTATTATGTGTCAAGTTGTAAACAGCACTCTGTGACAGGTATTTTCTCTCTTTGTCTTCCTTTGAGCTAATTAGTAATTTACACTCTAGTAGCATGTCTCCCAGTCTCACTGTGAAAATGCCTCCCGTGCAAATGATTAGGGGCAAATGTTGGCTAGCACATTAGAAGAATCAGGGTAAAAATTAATTTTTGCATGTTTTTGGTAGGCTTTTGTACATGTGTCTCTCCCTTTCCACCATGCCTTTTCTAGATATAAGAATGTTAGGAACTAATGTAACCCAGAGCCACTGCCCATGGTGCAGTTTGATAATTTGTGTGCTGTTTCCCACCCCCACCCCTGTGCTGTGGGATTTGGGGAGGATTAGCACAGCACTCTGCATAGTTTAAAGTCCAGGAAACTGGTCTTTACTGTTCCTGCCCCATTAGAAGATTAGCGGGCTTCCAGCATTGTGTTCAGAAGCTGCCCAGCAGTGCTGCTCTAGCAGGGCAGTCACTGCTCCGTGGTGAG